GGTGGGGGGTTCGCGTGGGTGATCCGGGAGTCGAGCTTTCTAGTTTTAGACGACAGTTGCGAGGTGAGTTATCCTCACTATACTAAGGGTTCTAAGGCACCAAGGCCGGCCCATTGGATATGTTATCCTAGCAGTGGTTATGTTGAGTATGAGCTAGTTTTGCATGCTAGTGGTTATGCCAGTTAGGTAGATCTGTAGGACTACCTGTGATGTTATATGATTATTGCATGCTCGGTAGCTATGTTATATGTTGATATGTTAGGTGGGATGGGTTGAGGTTGTACTGCTCCGTGCGGTAGCCAACAAACCCTGGAGTATTCCAGATATGAGCTGAGGGCCCGGTAGGCATTCCAGACTCATACTGAGGACTCGGGAGCATTCCAGATACGAGCTGAGGGCCCGATGGTATTCCAGACTCGTACTGAGGGCTCGATGGTATTCCAGATACGAGCTGAGGGCCCGGTAGGCATTCCAGACTCGTACTGAGGGCCCAGGGGTAATCCAGCTTGTAAGGCTGTAGACCCATTGCATGATGTTTCAGTTGTTATGTTATGATATTGTTGACATGGTTATGTGGACTGTATGTGTATCGGTATTTTGGGGGTAACTCACTAAGCTTTCGGGCTTACAGTTTCAGTTTATTGTTTCAGGTACATCAGGGGATCGCGGCAAGGAGAAGGCATGATCGTACAGCTCCTCATATTTTGTTTATGTTTCTGGGAATACTCTGATAAATAATATTTTGAAAACAAATTGTAATGTTTTAATGATTTTGGCATGCTTCTAAAAAGTTTAAATTGGTTTGAAAATTTTGGGTGTTACAAAACAAGTTAAATTGAGTGAGTTTTGCACATTTGAACAACAAAGTCAGATTACATTTAATTGCTGAAACAAAAAAAAATTCTGATTTGACACCCTTCTTTGCGGGGCTTGTAACTCATTCAATTTTTAACCAAATCAAGCGTTTTTATAGTCTAAACTTAACTACAAATCCTAATCTACATGTAGGAGAAAGATTCAGGTCAAAAAAAGTTAAATTGAGTGAGTTATGTACATTTGAACAACAAAGTCAGATTACATTTAATTGCTGAAACATAAAAAAAATTCTGATTTGACATCCTTCTTTGTGGGGCTTGTAACTCATTCAATTTTTAACCAAATCAAGTGTTTTTATAGTCTAAACTTAACTACAAATCATAATCTACATGTAGGAAAAAGATTCAGGTAAAAAAAAAAGTTAAATTGAGTGAGTTATGCAACTTTAAAAATTTGAGTGAGTTATCCGGTTCGGTTCCCGGTTTTGGGCCGGTTTCAACGACCGGTTCTTACCGGGTCCCGGTTCCAAAAATTGACGAAATTATAGTACCGGTCCCGGCCCGACCGGTTCAATCGGGTTCCGGTTCCGGTACCGGTTCCGGTTCCGGTACCGGTTTCGGTTCCGGGACTGGTTCCGGCCGGTTCCTCGGTCCATATGCTCATCCCTATATTAATGCATTAGAAAACCCTAACCCTAGTCACCCCTATACAGCCGCCACCCTCTCCATCTTCAACCTCCGGCCGCCATCTCCCTGCTGTGCTCGACCCACCGGTGTCTCCGTAGCCGGTGAAGACGTGGACGACATAGCGGCTGTCGGGAGGAACCGCCAAGATCAAGGAAATATTGCCAAGCCCTAGCCGCCGCCATCGGTTGAAGACTGCCACCTTGTTCCGTTGTCGCATCCACTGTCGGTGAAGAGCAAGGACCGTCGGAAGGGGGCGCTGAGGCCGTTTAGAGAAGCTTGAAGAGATGGAGCGCCGCTGTTGTCGTCGCAAAACCTTCCCTTCTCTAATTCGTTGCTGCAACGCCGCCTTTAGCCACCGTTGTGGTCGTTAGGGCTGCCGCTGCCGTCACCGCGCACCACCAGGCGGGTGGTTGCGTCCAGATTTACGAGCAAGGGTGCGTGTGTGTGTCTATTACAGTGAAGTGGTGTTTGGGTAATGCTTGGCCGAATTTTTCAAGAAAAGCCACCACTACCACCGTGAGGTGGTGGCTGCCACCATGTGCCACCGCCGGCCACCACTAGGGTGGCTGTGTGTATGTGTGTTTATCTAGTTGTGTTTGTGTTTATTTGGGTTAAAGTATTGTAAGTTGTAACTAGTGGCTAGAATAATGAAAAGAAAACTCAAAACCACCACCGTGAGGTGGTGGCTGCCGCCTCCTGCCGCCACCAGCCGCCGTGTTGGGTGGCGGTGTGCTTTTTCTTGTGTATAGTCGCTTTTGGGATGCTTGGACAAGATGGACTAGAACCATAACCACCATCGTGAGGTGGTGGCCGCCGCCGTGAGCCGCCGTTGACCGCCACTACCCGAGGTGGTAGTGGGTGGTGCCCGACTAACGAAACCCTAATGGGCCTAGTGAAACCCTAATGGGCCTAATGAAGCCCTAATGGACTTAAGGACCTAGATTTTGGGCCTAATTGGGTTGTGAGGGGTTAGAAACCCTCATTAGGGTTTAGAAAACCCTAATTTTGGATATATGGATTATGGGTTGTCGGACCCGCATTTTTAGATGACCGGATTGGGATTATGGATTAAGCCGACCACACTACATGATTGACCCAACAAATTGATGGACTTATTGGATTAAGTCCTTAATGGGTTAAGTGAGAAACAATTAACCCTAATCGTCATTTCATGTGAAAACCCTAATTGTGTTGGGTTTAGAGTTGGGCCTTTCTGTTGGGCCTAGATGTCTGACTCTTGATGGGCCAACTATTAATAAGTAAATTGAATAGAATAATTGGATTGGGCTTCAGGATAAGGCCCATTGGATAGGCTTGGGCCCAATTGGGAAAATTGGGCCATAGATGGGCCATAAAATTTGGAAAATTGGGCCATTGATGATTATGAGATATTGGACCATCAGAATGTCAAGTGTTGGACCAAGAATAAATGGTTGGGCCTTAAGGCATGACCGTGTAGAGGTTTGGGTCCAATTTGGAAAATTGAGCCTTGGTTCATTATTAGACTTTTAGGCCTTTGGATTGGGCTTTAGGCTTGAGTCAATCTAAGTTAGGGGTAAAGTAGTCTTTTACCCCAAGCATGGACTTATGGATATGTGTTGGGGACCCAATTATTAATTGGGTGTGATTTTGATGTTGACAGATTCAGGAATCTGTCATCCAGCAGCTAGGGTTTTGTCAGCGGGACTTCAGTAGTGTGAGGTGAGTCCTCTTCCAGTAGGAACGGGTCTAAGACCACAATGCCGACCTATTTAGATGTTAGTAGTTCCAGACTACGGTCCGATGTTGGGGCGGTCCCGAGAAGAGTATATGTATGCCTGATGTCTTTGTGATTCATGCATGTTATGTGTTATGTGTTCCGGGCTTCGGTCTGATGCCGGGGTAAGCCCGATGCATGTTAGCTTATATGTTATGTGTTATGTGTTCCGGACTTCGGTCCGATGCGGGGTAAGCCCGATGTATGTTATATGCTTATGTTATGTGCTTATGTTATATGATATGTTGTATGACGAGGCAAGCCAGATGAAAGTTATATGCTTATGTTATTTGTTTATGATGTGTTGTATGTATGTCGGGGCAAGCCCGATGTCGGACGGGGTCCGATGACCGATGCGGTTGGATGCCGGGCGGGGCCTGATGCCGGGTAAGCCGATGTCGGGTTCGTCGGATGCCGGGCGAGGCCCGATGCCGGGTAAGCCGATGTCGGGTTCGTCGGATGCCGAGCGAGGCCCGATGACGGGGTCCGATGACCGATGCGGTCACATGAATCTTATTTTGCCTCATTCTCTCTCCTATTATTTATCCCCTTTAACGACTAATTCCTTCAATTTTTTAGTTAAAAAAAATATATGTTACCAATCTATAAATACCAACCATTTTTAACCTTTAATTTCACACCATTTTCTATATTTTCTCTCAAAAATTTATTCAACCACAATGTCATCATCATCATCTACTTTGTCAGATATGTTAGAATTACGAGAATCAACGTTTATCGAAAACATTATGGGAAAAACAATTGTGTATTATGAAAACCAAGAAACTAAAAGTTCACGTTTTAGAATGAGAAGAGACCCTTTGAATAGAAATCGTGAAGCCATGCATAATTGTGTTATTAGAAGACTACTTTGCCGGTGACGTCGTGTACACTGAAAAGTTTAGATGGTGGTTTTAGTTGAGCAAAAAGTTATGTCTACGTATTGTTGATGACTTACAGTGCCGATTTCCATATTTTTGGTTGAACGGGGATGCAAGACGTATAAAAGGTTTTTCTCCAATACAAAAATGTACGATTGCAATTCGTCAGTTAACATACGACATGGGAGAAGAAAAAATGAGATGAGTATTTGAGGATGGCTGAGTGGACCACACGGGAAGTGTGTAAGCGTTTGCTAAAGTTTTTATTTTGGTTTACGATGACCAATATTTTAGGGGTGGTAAAACGGGCTATTGTATCATGTTTTTCTCTAACACTACACGATGTCGTGTTTTTTTAACTAACACGAAAACGAACCAATTAAAAACGACAAACACGGCATTGATAACATAAAATAACAATTAGTTTATTTAATTAATACTTAATCATACATAACATGACAAACACGAAACATGGAAAACATGACAAACAAATGCTAAAACATGTCAATTTTGTGTCGAATTTTCAACACGAACACGACATCGTGTTTTTTACCTTGACACGGACATGAATTCAAATTTCAATTTCGTCCAAATTTTGTTTCGTGTCACATATTTTTGTCGTGTCATGACATCAAATGCCACCCTTACAATATTTGCATAAATCAAAGATCAATAATGTCCACCAATTATACACAACGCATGAAAAAAAGCATGGGTTCCATAGAATGCTAGGTAGCATCGATTGCATACATTGAGCATGTGCATTTTGCCCTAACGCATGACATGGTCAATAATGTGAGGTGATCGTAACAAGCCGACGATAATTCTAGAAGAAATCACGTCCAACGGTCTTTAGATATGTCATGCATTCTTTGGTCCTGCGGGAGCAAACTACGAAATCAATGTTCTTGACCAGTCGTTGGTATTTAAAAAAAATTATCTTGGAAAGACGCAAGATGTGTCGTTTCAAGCAAATGGAGTAGCATATAAGTGTGGGTACTGTTTGGTTATAGGGATACAAAAGCCACAAAGGAACAACAGAAGCAATAAACAAAACAAGCCCATAAACCAAAAGAGTATCACATTTTGAACATATCTGATGCAAAAAAAATAATAATACAACCGTAGGGACTTTAGAGAATACATACATTTGTAGACCTTGTCTTGCATGTTCTACCAGTGGAATCGATGATTGGAATCTAAAATAGGATTCCACTTTCGTAGTCGCACCAAAATAACAGCAAAGCAACCTCTTAACAAATCCATTACTGATGAATACTCTTGAACACCACAAACCCTAAACGACTGGGGTTATAATCGAAGGACGCATTCCGAACATAAAGGTTTTGCGTCACACCAAGAGGATTTATTGATTTTGAGAGAGGATAAAAGGAAGCCGCATTTAGGGTTAAGAGATCAGTTAAAACCCGGTTTTAGGCACCTCTATTTTTAGGGGGGGGGGGGGGGTCTAGAATCCTTACTGGATAATTACTAGGTCACTAAGTAATTATCTATAAAATTTTACTTTCAAATCTTTACATTTAAACCCTTTTAGTTCTACAAGTTTCTATTAATTTATTAATCATTAATAAGTTAACTAACTAGATCCCCAATTAATTCTCATGTCAATAATTGTTTAAATATGCATTTGCATGTAACCCAAAACGACTCTGCTAATAATAATGATATTATCAACAGTTGTGACTATATGCACTGTTTCCAACATTTATTATCTTACATATGAGATATATTAGAACTAATATGTCTTTGTGAAATCGTTCACATGTCTAAACAATGAAAAAAGAATAAAGTTTCAGAGGCCCAAGAAGCAATTAGGAAGGACATGAAACGAGCATTATGTTTACTTAAGAGGTATTCACAAATACGACAAGTCCTGACACGGTCATATGAGACTAGAGATGGAAATGACGACAAGGATTATTTGGGACCCTAATCCCCAACCTTGTCCTTAAATCCTCATTCCCGTCCTCATCCCCATCGTCAACGAGGAATATAAATGAATTTCTATCGGGTACACAGGATCCCCGGTGGGGAATTGGGGATTTCTTTCTATTTTAATAGGAAAACTTTTATGTAAATAAAACTATAAATTTCACAACATATGCTTAAAGATTTACAAAACATAAAAACATTCATAAATTTGCATATAAACTATAAACAAATTTTCTACCCGAATTTAAATACACACATGAAAAATCAAATAACTTTAGCTATAACCATTTGTTTGATATATAACACATGTAGAGTGATGATTTATTATATATGATACAACATAAACGTATGACTGATGTAAGATTGAGTATTTGATATTCGTCTTTTGAAGCGACTAATTTTATCAAATAAGTAGGAACTGAACTTTTAACATTTACAAAATAAAAATGAAAAGTAATAATAAATAAACTTTGGATAGAATATCATAGTGATATTTAAGATAAACCAATGATAAAAAAAGTATACGATGTTAAATTAGATAAACAAAGAAGGAAAAATATGATATCAACCAAGTAATTACTAATGAGTAGAGATACTTGTATTATTAGGTATTGTAAATTTTATCATAACTATATATTTTGTATTATTTTTATATATTAATATCTATCGGAACCAGATCCAGGTTCGGACACTAAGGGTATCCTCATCCCCGCTTTTCTATTTGGGGATTCCCAATCCCCATCCCCATCCTCAACCAACTTGGGATTCTCTAGTCAAACTGGATGCGAGTTTTAGGTTCCTTATCAGATATGAGGTTTTTTCCATCCTTATATGGGATCACAATGTCACAAAACACACACACACACACACACACACATATATATATATATATATATATATATATATATATATATATATATATATATATGCGCATCATATTATGATTTTAGAAGTTGAAGGAAAAACAGTATGCCGCTACGATGAAAACGAAATTTTACCGGCCTTCAAAGAAGTAGAAATTTGTATGTCACAATATATATGGTAAACCAAAGGGAAGTACATGACAATGATATCAATCACACACTTCGTGTTGATTTAGTGAAACATATTCACATGACTAAAATATAGCTCGTGATCGACGATTGGCACAGTGATTTATTTGACGATTCAAATGAAGATCGGATTTGTTCATCGAAGATTCGGACGACAGTTCGTAAGAAATTCGGTGTGATGTAGTATTTTAAGTATTGTTATATTTTAATAATGTTTTTTTTAATTTTAATTATGTAATTTTTATTTTTACGCTATGAAATATTTTTATTTTTATTAATTTTATGTTTATTAGCTATATTTTAATTTTGTGTTTATTAACCATTTTTAATTAATTTTATTTATTTGTTAAATTATTATTTCTTAAATTATGGTAATTTATTTAAAAAGATAAGGTGATACTAGCTACTTGGTGGCTAATTTGAAGATTTTAAAATAATATTGTCTTTAAATTTTATAAAATATAAAAAGACAATATTTTGATAAAATGGTTCTTTTGTTCTCGTGGTTTAAGCATAGAGGTTGCAAAAATATTTGCTGAAATGATTGTGTAATTTTCCTTCTAATAATTAGTTAGAACTTAAAAGTGTCAACAGATGATATTTGTAGCTGTTTAAAAAAGGAACGAAAACCGTTGATGAAATGTAATGTAATTTCATCAACGACACATGGTCCCTCTATAATTTACTTTGACTTTTTCATAGAATCTTGCTGCTAACATGTCACCCAACTAATCATAACATGCAAATACACAGTTTTTCAACATAAAACTTGTTTTAACCCATAGATTTATATTTTACAATTCGTATAACGTATAAAGAGAAATTCCCAAAATATTAAAAAAATAATAATAAATCTCAATCACAGATTGAGAAAAAAAAAAAAAAAAGACTCTTTACATCGTGAACAATTATCCGTGTGTTAAATGTAAAACGGTGGGATCCAAGAAAACATACGACTGTTAACGTATATGTAACTGGATTTCAACCGCTTAAAAAAAATTATCTTTTATGTGTATACAGTCACCATCATATACCATATCCATTTCCCTTCGATCATATGCGAATGTAGTAAATTGAAGAAACTCGAATCATTTACACCCATGGATCACAAATGAAAAATACCTTTTTCAACAACTAGAGATGGAGAATTTTGAAGGTGTTCTTGCCTACTTGGAGCTGAATCAAAAACAGACAATATGAAAATTTTAACCCAGTTATAATCGCATGTGAAGGCTTCATCGTTTTCGTAATAGATTGAATAAAGATTTCGTTTTCACCTAGTCCATTAATGGCTTCTGAGCTTATCATTAACCTTATTCGCTTGCAAGTCTCGAAGAACATCCTGTGATTAAACAAATAATCAAAGAAACCCGTTGATTAATTTTGAAAATTTGGAAGATTGTAGTACCAGTTTATCAAGTTTGGGGGAACTTACGTCCATGGAACATCACCAATAAGCATCCAGTCTCCATCTTTATCCACATACGTTATAACATATTCTTTTTCCATCAACTTTTTCTCATTCAATACGCTATCTGTAATTTTAATCGATATGTTATGACGAACATATTTTAATAGAAAAAATAAAGTTTTATGATAGTTTGGAACCCTAAATCATCAACTCATCATCATATACTTACTTGTGAAACAGGAGAATATGTCTTCTAGAGCGAATAGAAGCTGCTGATAGCCTGTATATGATCCCAGATCTACTTTTCTCAGATATGGTGCTCCGTCGACAGCCACCTTTACAAACTTAAAATTACTGTTCACGGCGTTCTTCCTGTGTAAGTTCACCGGTGGCCACCCGACCACTCGTTCTCTGTAACATTCATGTGAATGTATCAGTCTATGTATTTCTAATTCCCCCGAGTTTTTAATTACAGTCACAGTGTGTCGATTTAGAGTGCCAAACAACGAACATCAATGCACTTAATTAATGGAAGAGATTACAACTTACGTTTCGGAAGGCGGTTTTGTAGCGTCGGAGCATTCGGTATCCGATTGATTAGCTTCGGAATCTTCATTGCTGCTTAATTTCAAATCAATCGTTTCCAAGAATCGTCGCTTTGCTCCCAAATTTCGACCTCGTGAATCCCCTGGTAAACCTAAGGTAAGCGCTGTTTCGTTGAGATTAAGGCCGTAATCGGCGGCGGTTGTTATCTCCGACGTGATTTTGGACGTCTCCGACGACATTTTATTAGGTGAAGTCGGAAAAAGTTTCCGGTTTGAGATACAGATGCGTTGTGGGCATGTTGCGTAGTTATAGAGGGAGTAAGCACCAAACAGTTATCCAGTTATAAGTCAACACGTGGCATTAGAATAAACGGTTGAGATTTTCTTTTGGGTAATGATGAAGGGCTGGTAGTCTAGTTGGTGAGAGTACCAAATGTTGAGATGTTTTGGAGTACCGAATCAAACCCATGTGCCCGTGTGTGCAATTGATGAAAAAGAAAGTGAAACGGATACACATGTCGGGTATTTCGAATTTTCTTTTACATATTGGTTTTAGAAACCAAAACTGTAAGAATGATTTTTATGAGTCTCTCACTCTTAACCTGTGTGTTGACCAGGCAATAACCACTATTTTATTTGTATTTTCTTTTTCAATTCCAATACATTATATATACTAATTTAATATACTATTTTATAACCCATCAATATTTTCTTATCTACTATTCGTTTAAAAGGCCTTATTCAACTTCAACTTCAAGAACTTTGGAGTTTTTAACCAAGTAATTGTAGTTGTAAAAAGTAATTACCATTTGCTTGTAGTTTGTAAATTATTTACCAAATAATTGTATTTTTTTATTTAAAAAGAAATTAATAAAACAAATGGGTCCATGACCCTCTCGTCTTCTTCCCTCACCTTATGCATTCTTTCTGTCAACGATTGCCCTCGCCGTTTGCCGCCTTCCTTCCCTCTTCAGCCATGCCACCCTTTTGTTGTCCTCGTCATCCACCACCAATACATTATGCTTTTTGCTTATGAAACTGTCTGTCAACCTCATTGCAATCATAAGCCATCAGTCCAATGTTTTGCACTCAAATCTTCATGTGGCAGCTCCTAAGTGATCCAAATTCTCATTCACCCTCATTGTTTTCGTTATCTGCAACGTCCAAGCTTCTTGTTGAGTTAGCTCAAGTTCAAGTTTTGTGATCGGATTAGTAGCCAAGTGTACCAAAGACATTGCAACACTAGGTCTCCGGTGCTGCTTTTGGCATCAGTGATTAAGAAAACAAAAAAAGTGTGTAAACGAGGGAAAATATGGACAATTTAATCAATAAGATGGTCTCCGTTTGCCTGTAATGTAACATTGGGCGATACCTTACTCCACTTCTCTGCTCCTTGGAACTTTTCCAGCGCCCAACACTCCTCCACTACCCATCTTCGTTTTCCCTTTTCAACCAAGTCATTCAAACTTCATTGCCATGGGGTCGCAATCTTTGCTCCACCGATTCTCCTACGTCACACTACATATAACGGAAGAGCATTCCACCATGGCAGCAAAAAGAAACCAATTCTACGAGAAGACTAGCCTAGAGAGAGAAACGGCTGAGATTATTTTAATGATCGGAGACCATGGCATGGACATTGTTTCTTGTTTGTGTTTTGGTGTAAACGGTGGGGATGGGTCTTGGTACCATCGAAATGGTTATTTAAAAGGTAAATGTTAATCTACAAGAGTTAGGTAAATAAATTCTAGAATACAATACATTGGTAAATATTTTTTATAACTACTATCCTCTAGTTAAAAACTCAAGAACTTTGACATGGTGCCACAAGCCGTAGCCAGCTTTGCTAAAATAGTGGCGAACATGATTGACAAACTATGCAACTAGGAAACCAAAAATATGAGGCGCAAAAAAGGGAAAATATATTCAGAAAGATCGTGAAGCTGCCCACCAACGTCTCATATATGATTATTTTGACAAACAATCAGTTTTTTAAGGGTATTTTTTTCGGTGACGCTTCCAAATGCATAAACATTTGTTTCAGTAGTTGAAGACGTGACGGAAGCATGTTCATATTTCCAACAACGTCCAATGCAAGAGGTACAATAGGTTTTAGTCCATTAGAAAAATGCAAAGTCAAACTTCATATGATAATAGATAACACCCCACCCAATACACTAGATGATAATCTTAGAATGTCTCCAACTATCATACAAGAAAGTCTTCACAAAATTTGCAAGTATGTCATGAAGTTGTATGGTTCACGATCTTAGAATTAACATACTTACAATGACATCCAACGATTGCATGCTCATCATGTAAACGTACATGGCTTCCCTATAATGTTAGGAAGCTTGGATCACCTCCACTGGGAATACAATAATTGTTAGAATGTATATCATGATCAGTACACATAGGTTGTCAAACGATCATACTTGAAGTTGTGGCCTAATAGGTTTGTGGATATGAAATGCCTTCTTTGGTGCTCTCGATTCGCATAATGACATCAATGTTATTAATGTTTCACCGATATTCAAAGACGTATATAACATGACTGCACCAGATTCTTCGTTTGTAATGCATGGATCGTCTTATATGTACGCGTATTATCCTGTGGACAATATCTATCATGAGCGTTTTGTTTTTGTTAAAACGTTGAAAAATACCCAAAAAAAACCCCATAATTTGTTGAGGAGAAAAAGATGAGTTAGGTGATGTATAACATTTGAAAGACAAAATCCAGTTAAACCAAACCAAATAAATCGATAACCTATCAAACCGACCGAATAATAATTGTGTTTTTTCTCTAAAATAAATATAACATTTACTTTAATAAGATTTATGAAATATTTATTATTTTGTAGTTTTATTAAATTACATTCAAATTATTTTACATATTTTTAGATGATGATAAAAACAAGGGAAATTGAGTAATCTAACCATTTTTTGGGTGTTTTTAAAAAATATATTTTTTTTATTTTTAAAATGACCACTTGTTCCGGAATGGGGCATTCTGGAACATATTTTGGACTCATTTTCGGATGGGCCGACCCATCACCTTGCCTCCAGAATTACCATTTTGGATTATCCGTCCGTGTTCTGGATCAGGAATTTGAAATTCAAATTCCGGAATATAATTTGAAAAATCCGGTCCCTCGAATTCATTTCGGATCTTGCTTCGACTTTCCAATTCGATTCCGACATGCGGCCTCGACCCTGATTCTGATCTCCGACATGCAACTCCAATCTCTCGCACGCAACTCCGACATGGAAGAAGACCACTATGACCTTGTTATTTTATAGGTACGTTCTTCACTTCAAAAACCTAGTTTTCTTTTTTGTATAACGTGCTTATTCATTTACAATTACTTTTCCAGAATGCGTAGAACACCTCCAGATTGAACTGAAAATGTTCCAGAGTTTAAATTATAGATACCATTGTTGTAGGACCAATAGAAATGTAGTTTAGATGTTTGGGTATTGTTAATTTACATCGAAATGTACTGCTCTGGATCTTAAAATTTCATTTTGGAAGCCTATGGAATGCGATGAACTGTTCCAAAACACGAGGAACTAGTACGGAACACTAGGAACTGCTCCGTAACTGGTCCGAAATATTGTTCAGTTTTCTTTTCGGAATGAAGTAATAACACCTTTTGGTTTGTGCAGCACGACATGGTTTTTGATGCATCCATTACACAGTCCTGTAAACCTAAAATCGGCGGGTAAATTCTCGTGACATTCAGAGATAAACCCGGATGCGAGACTATGTTCTAGAATACATGTTTTGGGAGGTGGTTAGACATTCCTAATGTAGATGTGGATCATTTGCTTCTACATTACGTCTTTTACCGCGAAGTTGTCACGGACCCTCGAAGCCTAGTAAAGCAAATGGTTTTTGAGATTGGGGGTTATGAGCTGTCTTTTGGGAAATAATTTTTTCTCATCATCGGCTTCCGGTTTGGTGACTATTTTCCTGCTTCTGTATCTGGTGCCCCCTTTAGTTCCTGTGCCTTTCTAGTGGTCCCGAGGAATGTCTCGGTCAAATTAGAATATGTTATGACGGTGTTTAAACATTCACTTTATGAGTTATCAAACAAGGATGCAATCCGTGTATGTCTTCTATAGCTGTTAGAGAAGGGTTTCAATGGGCGGTTGCCTAAATAGCCTGTTACAGAAGAGTATTTCACTTTGCTATCTAACCTTAATGAATTCAACAGGTATAATTTCGTCTATTTTATAATTACTTGTAACATCCCAATATCAGGTATTTTCATTATTTCTTTTATCTTTATCAAAAGTTGCACAATTGGTCCCTTGATGAAAATGGCTTGTGTGGTGATCACAAAAAGGGCGTACTTAACAGTACATGCAACGTACTCATGTAGCATGGGATTACGAAAAGCCAACTAGTACGTTGGGCGTATGTTTGGTACGTCGGGCATACTAGCCCAAACTTCAACCCTAATCTTAAGGGTTGCTCCCTACTTAACCAACATTATGTCCTTATTTGAGCATCCTTATCGGCCACTATACCGTCCCTAAACCCTAATTCCGAGTTTAAGTGTCTTGTGTGAGTTTTTTGAGTTTATTGAGTGTTTTTGGTGCATTTAGTTGAAGAAGGAGACTAGATAAGAAGGGGTGGGTGCTAGCAAGCTTGTAGATCCAGAAACCTTTCCTCCATGTGCATCATTTTCAGGTATAAAGTTTATACCTTGATAAGTTTTCCATTAGATCTATATGGTTGAAGTTTTATAAACTTTTGTCCCCAAGATTGGACCTTTATGAGTTTAGAGCACTCCAGGGGCTTGTAGTTGTCCTTTCATGCATATTAGGACTTGTTGAGTCATAAAAATGATTGGTTGATTAATTCCTATGGTTCATGCATGAGCAAAGTAGCTTAGAATGTGTTGAAAGTTCAAGTTTGTTGCATTAGGACTTTTCTAGCCATGTAAAGGCTTAAAGTCGATGACTTTATGGAATAAGACATCATAGAATGGTCAGATTTGTGGTTGGGTTAGTTGTCTAAAGGGATGAAAACAAAAAGTTGGTAAAAGTGGAAGCAGATGGAGTACGACGTGCGTACTCCTAGGTTCCGACCCTGACCACATGTTGTTCGAGTTGTATGCCCCACGTAAGAAGAGGTATGCCCAGCGTACTCGCCGGGCAGTTGACTTTTGACCTTTGGTCAAGATTTAGGGTTTTAGACCATGGGAATGGCAAAATGGTCTTTTTCCATTAGAGGACTTAGTTGTGGGATTAGACTAGCAA